CACACACACACACAGTTTAATGACAGTACTGAGGAGATATTTACTATATTGGTGGTTCTGTTTTCTTCCACACTTTGCGTGCACAAAGTAAACCCATTCTCTACTGTAACATGTAGTGCTGTAATCTACCAGAACAGCAGGGGTCGTGCAGTTATGTTTTATTAAACCCACTCATTTAGGAAAAGGGTGTTTCATAAGACTGAAAGAAAAGCCAATCAGTGATGATTTCCTATTGTTTTAATCATTTCTAACTAAGGGTTGCTACAGGTGAGTATCTCTGAGGGGAAATCAATTGTGAAAGCTCTCCCACATGTTACTGTAATGAGCTTGGGTGCACTGTGGGAGGCCTTCATGAACACTGTATTCTTGGGTGGGTACGTGCTCCATCACATTGAGATGAGATATTAACCATCCACTGCCTCTTTTAATCCGCTCACCCTTTAAACAATGCAGCTGAATGCTCAGCCAAATTACCATAATTCCATTCTCCATAACAGCATTACAAATTCAGTGATTCAGTTCATTTGATTTCTCACTTTGTGAACATAAAAAAACAAGGTTAAATTGGGTGTTACATGTTTAGGCCATCTTCACAAGCACCCAAAGCTGTTTCAAGTTTTTTTTCCATTTTTTTTATTTCTATTTTGGATCTCATATTACGTCATTAATAAAAGCTGCCAACCTCAAGAAATACAAAATGACCTTGATCAGAGGGATTTAGTTAGTTATCATGTTCCTCTACACACTGTAGCAAGCGTGGCTAAATGAACCATGTTCACTTGCCAAATTCAGAGAGGTGTAGATAATGGGCTAAATGACACTGTTTTTCAGCAGACAGATCAGTTAAAGGTATATTGCTGCAAATTTGACACAACTGTCTATGTAAGTACAGTACTTCTGTACTTCATGAAATAAGACAAAACTTCTTACATTAGAAAGACTGAATGGATGCACAGGTGAGAAGAAATACACATTTCAAATATGACAAATATGAAAATGGGAACTACACATAGTATTTTCCCCACTCAGCCCAGTCATCCGTATTATCTGCAAGAGCTACAAATGAAAATGTATACAGACATAAATACTTGTAACAAGAATATGATCGCTTGGTCATATTTCAGAACCATAAATTTGATCCTCTCACTGCTGCTCTGTCCATATAGTTCTGACCTTAGCCATACGCTATCTGGGGACATTATGAAGTTGACCCTCTCTCGTGTTTGGTACTGGAATTGCAGTGTTTATCTATTAATCCGTCTCTGGCACGGCGCACGTTTCAGGGCGCCTTTGTCCGCTGCTTGAGGGCCTGATAAATCATGCCTGGGGTGGAGCTGTCAGCAGGGAGAGGAAGTGTGAGGGAGCACACAGGGGTTAGCGCTGAGGAATGATGCCATTTCAGCATGCGCCACAGTATCGCCACCGCCAGCGCATAAATTAGACCCTGCTGAACAAGTGACGTGGACTCTGCAGGAGATAGATGACTTCTGACACACATACACACGTGCCACCACACTTTTTAAGTATGACTACTGCAGAGATGGAGAAGGTGGCTTTTAAAGGCCGAGAGAGGCTTTTGATGAAGTAGAATAATAGCAATAAATACATTTTTATATGAAAGGTTTATTTCTTAAAATGTAGATCAGATAATTCTAGTCTGCTACAGTCATAAATCAGGAGTCATTTAAATACATGGATACACAAACACATAAATCAGAGGCCTATTGGTTGAGCATTAGTAAATTAGTAGATGTAAATATAGGCCATATATATTTCCTGTTTTTTCACATTGAGAACATGTTACGTGTTAAGCTCTATAGTTGGCAAATCTTGTGTGTGTCTGCAAAGGCTGGTTGTCTTTCTAATATCCCATATGTATTATGAATCGTTGGTCGTTTGTCTCTGATTAATGCCTTTGTTGCCTTAAATGATGCATGACTCCGCGCTTGTCTCCGGAATCATCAGAAACGTACTTTAAGCTCCTCGTTCACAGCTTCTCCACTGTGTGCCGCCCATGGGTGTATAACCAGCATAGACACACACATGCTCATGCTCCTTCTTGAGCATACCAAATAAGGTTGCTCAGAAAATTGTGGAATTCGGGTTCTTTCTGAGTTCCTGCACTCATACACTCTGTAATTGTGGAATCACCCCGCCACATAAATATCAAATAAAGTTCTTACTCACTCTCTTGCAACACTTCTCTTACACAGTCTTGCTTTATTTTTCCTAATTTTTCCCTACAAGACAATGTTCAAGTCTAAAAATTGGTTTTTGAATCAAAGACTGATGAAGATTGTCTTGAAAAGTTGCTGTGTAAAACTATAAGGTATACTTTATGTACACATACTCTATGTGGACAATGTATACATGATACAGATTATTAATTTAACTGATGAGTGAGTTCAAAATCATTTTAAAAAAGTACTATGTCTGTGATATAATCATCTTACACAATCTTTTTACAAAAAATACATTTCTTATTTATTTATTTTCAAATGAGAAATAATCAAATCATCAAAGTCAGTATAAACTTGTTCAAGGACAAGAACATTTACAGGAGACAGGCCTGAGTGTGACCGTATAAACACTTGCCACCATCAGACCTTTTGTTGCTGTACACCATCTTTTAAGAGGCTTTCAGTCAGAGTGGGAGAGATGTAAAAAGGAGAAGTTGAGAAGAAAAAGTATGTACAGAGAGTGGCATGATGGGTGAGAGAGCAGCAGAAAGGATAGATGGTAAGAGTGCGAGTGAGGGGGGATGCTTCCTCTCTCCCCCAAATGGCCACGCTTGGCTGAGCCACATAATGCGTGCTCAACAGTATAAGTCTGCAAAGGGCCTGCATCCATAGATCATTGTGAAGTGGCATGTGACCTATAAAAAAAAAAAAACGCTGCCTGCTCCCTACATGTTCACTGTGTCAGCAGAAAAAAAACAGAACAACAAAACAGCGGGATCGCAATAAATTCCCTCTCTGCTCTCTTCTCTCTCATCCTTGATTCATTGCTCACTGCCTGTGCTGCTCTTTTCTCCTTTCGCCTGTCCTTCTCCTCATGGTCTTATAAAAATAGCTGCCACCATACCATCTTCTCATTCTCTGTTATTCTCCCCCTCCTCCTCTCCACCTTTATTTCCCTTTACAATGCTTGCCATAAGCACACAGCAAAGTACTGTCTCTCACCCCCCCCCC